CCACACTGGGCGCCTCACAACTCCTTTCAAGAGGCACCTGCCCTCACATGCACACACCCACAAGTGTACATTTAATTCAAAAATGAAAACCAAGACCCCAATGCTCACCATGCTTCATCATCACAGTCAGGAAGCGGACGATGACTTTGGAGCATGGCCTGATGAGGACCTGGCGTTTGCCTCTCTTCTCGGCATTGTTGATGCTCTTCAGAGCATCAGCCAGGACATTCATGCGCACCATGCTGGCTAAGGGAAGACAGAACAAGTTTCACTGCCATCCTCAACCAGAACCCCATCATCACACGGTGAAAACTCCCACCAGTAAATTTCCTGATTACAATTTACAGACTGTTCAAGACAGGCTGTCAGGACGTCCCATAAAGCCGCACACCCGTAGAACCCACTCATTAACCACTGGTGTGGAATCGTCATGGCTGGAGATAAAACGATACCGGGCAACTATCCCATAGACGGTAACCTTAGAAATGGCGGGAACTACCATCTACTTTATAAAACTGAGGTATGTTGTCATTAAGAACCTAAGCTGAGAAACAATGGCAGTGTGTCCCACGATTCTTAAAGGCAGCAGGGTCAGCACACAGTTTAAGTCAACTCACATTCAGCCTTGTTTTAATAGCCAGGAGATGCTACTTAACTTTCACCTAACGACTAAGCACACACATCCGTCCTGGCGTCATTTCAAAGCATCCAACTGCAAGCGTCCTATTTTACAGGGCACCCGACTGGATCTTGGACAGCCACGGACTGCGGCCTCAGTTCTCACAGCTCGTAATAACAAGAGGCCAAAGCATGATTCAAGCGCCAGGGTAAAGCTTCCGTCACCAGACAGTGTGGGGGCACAACGTCCAGTGCCCACAGTCAGCTTAGTCCCCGCACCGCCAACCGTGGCGGAATGGGATGGTCCCTGCTGAGGCTCCGGACTCCCGAGAACACGGCGCGGCCCCTGCTGCTTGCCCCGTTGCGAACCGCCCGAGTCCGGAGGCTCCGGCCTGCAGCCCTCGCGCCCGGCTCCCAGCAGCGCGGCACCCGGCCATGGCGCTCGGCCAAGGCGGCCCAGGCCCGACAGTCGGGCGGCCTCAGCCCCGCCAGGGCCCCAGGTCCTCGCCGCACTCCGAAGCCCGGCCGCGGACGGCGGGATGGCGCCGATGCGGGGCGGATGAAGACTCGGAGCGCACACAAACTTACTCACCGGCGCGGAAAGATGGCGGAAAGAGGCCGGGAGGGGCGAGCGCACGGAGTTATGGGAAACGAACGTGCTATCGCGAGATTTCATAGCCTTGATAAAGAAACACCCAGTCCAAGGAACCTTCGCGAGGGAGTTCCTAGTGGAAGAGGATGCAGTAATGCAGGGGCGGGGCCTCCTGCTCCCTGGGAAGAGGAGCGCGGAACCTGGACAACCTGGAAATTCGTTTTTTTGTTTTGTTTAACGGTCCTACCACCACAACGGCTTTTTCTTGTGGTTCCTTTTTTGTTGTTTGAGACAGGATTTTCCTGTAGCTGGCCTGGAACTCGGTGTGTAGACCAGGCTGGCCTCGATCTCAGAGATCTGTCTGCCTCAGCCTCCCAAGGTCTGCAATTGCAGGTGTGTACTACATCGCCCAACTTTCTCGGATTTTGACGGAATCTCCCTATAGCCCCAGCTGTCCTGGAACTCACTATGTAGACCAGACTGGCCTTCAGAGTCATGATTTTCCTGCCTCAGCCCCCCCAAGAACCAAGATGACGACCATAACCTGTTTTTCCTCCTCCCCACCTCCTGCCCCTCTCTCCCTCTCCCCGTTGTCCACCTTCCTCTTTTTCTTTTCCTCCTCCACCCCTTCTCCTCCTCCTCCTCTTCACAGAGCCTTACTTCATAGCCCAGGCTAGCCTCAAATTCATGATCCTTCTGCTTCATCCTCCTGAGAGCTGAAGTTACGACCAAGATACTAGAAATGCCTCTATGGTCTTAGCTCCTGTCCCTGGACCATTAAGTTCCAAGCCACCAGACTTAGTAAGTTTTGTTCATTGCTGTACCGTTTCTAGATGGAGCATCTGCCACATAGTAGGCCCTCAGTACTTACTTGTATAAAAGAATAGGGGAATTGCCAGGTATGGTGGTGCTCGCCTTTAATCCCAGCACTCCGGAGGCAGAGGCAGGTGGATCTGAGTTCAAGGCCAGCCTGGTCTACACAGTGAGTTCCAGGCCAACTGGGGCTACATGGAGACACTGTCTCAAAAAGAAAAAAAAAAAGAATGGGTAATCATTTTCCCCATCTCTAAAATGGCAGTGCTACCACCAGGCACTTGAAGTTGTGAGGATGAAAGATGAACACAAAACCTAGAAACAGGGCTCAGTGCATTGCCTCAGTCTGCCACAGCCATCCTCACTCCTCGCACCACAGAACCTTCACAAAAGCAAAGTTTCCAATTTGTATGTCTCAGGGATAAATTTGTATTCCCTGGCTATACCTTACACTACAAAAGGACCGTTTGCAGTTTCTAAGTTTTATTTTGAGCCAAGACCTTACTATAAGAAGTAAGACCTTGGTCTCAAACTTGCCAGCCTTCTGTTTCAGTCTCCCCAGTTCCCTTGACATTGACTTCCTGCATACTTACAAATAGTTCTGCTTCCTAAAAATGTGCAGCTCACCTCAACAACCTTAGCAACCATTTGTTAGTAAACAAAATCTTTTATTTTGAAGGGCTTTACCATGGAGGAAAATAGCAGGTACATTACCTCTTTATATACTGCATTCCTTGATTCAGCTAATATCTCACCAGTGCCTACCACATGCCAAGTGTTGTACCAGGCACTGGGGGAGGGAGGAGCAAACTGTCAGTTCCAGCACTTAGGTTAAGAATCCTAAAGGGGAGACAGACCTCTAATCGACAACACAGGGGGATGGGGAATGTAGAGGTGACCTGGGACGCTGCTCAAGGTTTCTCAAAGTGTCACACATTCCATGTCACAAGGGGCCTGGCAGTACATCCCATAAGGTTAGACTCAACAAACGCTGTGAGATATGTGCTACTGTCCCCATTTCACAAAACTTTAAATGGACCCAATGTTAAAGTCAAAGCAAAAACGCACAAATGTGGTTAACTAGTCTACGATACTAGTTATTTGGCAGACTTGGATCCAGGCCTACCTGATTCCAAAATGTGGGGAGTGTGGGGAACAGTGTTACAGGCTCCTCACAGCCCTTATCTTGTATGTATATGGGAGTAAGGGAGTCTTGCCATGTATCCCTGGCTGGCCTTACAGCAATCCTCCTGCCTCTCTCAAGTGCTGACATTCCTGGAATGTACCACCATACCTGGCCAGCTCCACTGTTAACACTGGCAAGGAGCTAATGGACTCTGGAATTGTGTAGAGATGAGTAAGCAATTCAGGATGGCTGGGTGGGAGAAGCAGAGCAGAGCACTCTGGAGAAACTGACCCATATGCTTGCAAATTATCATTAAAACCCTGGTGAGATGAGCTGCTGACAGCCTCTTAAGACTTGGATGGCTGTGGTGACACTTGTAATCCTAGAACTTAATTGACACAGGAAGATCAAGAGTTCAAGGCCAGCCTGGGTTCTACATGAGACCTTGTCTTAGGAAAAAAAAAAAAAAAAAAAATCACACCCACACCTTCCAACATCTTACAGAACAAAGTTCATCAGCAGAGCCTTGGGCTGACAATAAAAATCATGGATCTTCCATCTTTTCTTTTCTTGGCACAGCTCATTACAACTGGTTTCCCCATGAGCTTTGGAATAACAGGTGTGGCCAGAGATGGAACAGGGCAGCCAACTTTTGAATGGGGCTGACTAGAAGCCATTTAGGTGTGTCCAGCATGAATGAATGAATGAGCACTTAGCACAGGTGTGTGGTTTCTATTCTTTTGAGCCATGGTCTTCTAACACTTATTCACCAAGCATCCTGTTAGGTGTAGAGGGGTGCGTTTCCTTTCCCATCTAGCATTGTTCTTGGATGTTGAAAGTGTGGTAAATTCAAGGCTCTCCTCTTTTTTCTTTTTGTGAGACAGGGTTTCTCTGTTGCCCCAACTGGCCTAGAACTCAGAGATCCACCTGCCTCTATCTCCTGAGTTCCTGAGTATTGGGGTTAAAGGTGGTCACCACACACCTGGCACTTTCCTTTAAGAGTATCTTAGCTGTAATGATGGGGTAGATCACTAATCAGATCAATAAACCTAACTATGAACAGGAGATTGACTATGTTACAAAGAAAGTGAGACACAGATTCCAGCTTTTTTTATTTTTCCCCTTTTACACAAAATAAATGATTAAAACTGCCAAAGTAGTTAATTGGTAGAATATATATTCATACACACACAAAAAAAATTCAGACAGGAAGACAGGCTTATTTACATCAAAAAAACATGTAAAATTAAGGTAGGTGTCATCTGAAACATTAAAAAACCAAACATATGCTAAACAGGTGCCACTGCTTACAGCACTGTGGAAAGGAGAACACGGCAGATCCACAAGGTCCAAGGCTTCTCAGCATCAGTGCAATGAATCCACACAACTACATCCCAGCTAGCTTATCAGTTAAGGGACTGTTCCCAATGTGTCACATTTTGGCCCTCACAGGTTCAGTCCTAAGATTTCAACTACTCTAAACCTCTAGCTACTGAGAAAGTGATTAGAGCAAGCAAGCTTACACAGGAGCTACAATCTATGCGAGCTGGAGCCAACCACCATTACCAGCCTGCTCTCAGCTACAGCCCTGTTATTTTTTCTGAGAAATCAGGGGAAGTCAAACACCAGTGTCGTTACTATCTTCCAAGGAGGCTGTGGTAACTGAAATACAGCCAGTTATTACTAAAAAATGAGAGTTCTGAGGTCTATATTTTTTTTTTTTTTTTTTTTTTTTTTGGTTTTTTTGAAAAAGGGTCTCTTTTTAACCCCCTTCCCTA